AGGTACTCCGGTGTGCCACAAAGTGTAAAGGTACGTTCCGGCACTTTCTTCGCAAACCCAAAGTCTGTCACCTTAACGTGACCCTTGCTGTCCAGCAGAAGATTCTCCGGTTTCAGGTCGCGGTAGATGATGTCTTTTCCGTGAATGTATTCAAAGGCAAGCACAAGTTCCGCGTGGTAAAACTTTGCTACGTCGTTTGGAAACCGGCCGGCAGAGCGAAGGTGGGTAAACACCTCTCCGCCTATCACAAACTCAAGCACCAAATACACACAGCGTTCATCCTGGAAGGAGCACAACATGTTCACAATAAACGGGTGTGAGAGCTCCATTAGAATCTGCTTTTCTTGGCTGAGATGTTGGACCTGTTTCATCTTGATGATCTCACGCTTCTTGAGGCACTTCACTGCGTAGTAGTTATTCGTTCCTTTCAGCTTCCCGAGGCGTACGCGCCCAAAGGAACCTGTCCCTAACGTCGCTCCCAGCTCAAGGTCTGATAGCTTCCATTTTGATGTATCTGGCTTTACAAAGTCAGACATATTTATCACTTGTCCTTGGCTTTGCCTTGTTACGCTGGCACTCCTTGCTACCTACCACAACTGAGAGGCAATGAACGAGGTGAAGCAAAGAAGTGTGCACCCATGCAGAAGCTACACACACAAAAGTAGCTTTGCCCCAATTCCACTCAGAAAGTAAATCCAGAAAAAGAATTTGCATCAAACAGTTCCTTCAGTTTACTTTTATTTATTTTGTTGATTGGAAGTGGTTGCAGCTCTCAGTGACCAAAAAAAAAAAAAACGCTCGAAAGCGACTGCCTCGATTCCCGTTGCCAGTGAGAAAGGCCTCCACGAAGCAGCGCAGATTTCTTCGTATTTTTTTTTTTCGTTTTATCTCCCTTCACCATTGTTATTCCCCGCAAAAAGGCCAACATCTCCCCTGTGCGTCCACCCTCCGTGTGAAACAAAAGCCAAAAATCGCTACAAGCGAACACCGGAAAACAACAAAAAGAACAAAATTTTTCAAAAAGAAAAAAACCGAAGCAAAACACAAAAATATGTGACTGAATGAGGCCCATTCCCTCCTTTTCTCAAAAACATGGAAGACGCCGCGAAGAAAAAATACAGTTTGGCACACTGCATCTAGCATATCCCAGCGAAGAAGAGATCTACACCACCTTCCCACAGCCAGACACAGAGGCATTCAAAGGATATATGACTGTGGCAGCCGGGGCACTTGTGCTGGAGGCCACAAGTGCCAATTGTTAAGCTTCAGCACCTACAAGGCGTCTCACCAGCGTGAGAGGCCATAGTGGTAGAGGGTTAGGGTAAAATGAGAGAGGCAAGAAAAAAACCGTATGCAAAAAGCAATAAGGTAGCCAAACAAAACCCGCTCTCTTTTTTTTTTTCTGAACCCTGTCAAGTTACACATATTTGCCAGAAAATATAAAAATACAAAATAAAGACATGAAAACGCATCACATGTTTCTTCATTGAACCTTATCCGCAAAAACACAGCTTATGACACAGGCAATTTTGGACGTTATCAAGATCAATACCACCGGCAGACCATGTAGAATAAACAAAATATTCCCCCCATAATCACCGTAAATGGTCGTAAAAGGCCATCGTCAAGGCCGCATTGGGCGCCGCAAATGCGAGTCTGCTGCCCACACCACGCCAAAGTGCTAAGAGTCCTTCCTCCCTAAGAACTGTTCTCAATCCATCACAGAAACTTCTGTAGCAGTAGGAAAAACCATTTACAGTTGTGGGCCTGCCATCTATGGAAAGCACCGCTCGCTGCACCTGCATCCTTGTTTTGATAAACTCCAACGGATTTGTCACGAGGGAAGCGGCGATAGTTCCCATCCCGCCAGCACAGAGAGCAGAAGTAAACGAATTGAATGAAAGTTGTTTTGAAAAATTATCATTAAAAACCTCATAGCATGCAAAGTAAACCGCTGAATAAGGCCCAAAGGAGACTACGGTTGTTCCATAGCACTTGTATAGCCCTGAGAGTCCTTCATAGCGGGCAATGGTGCAGAGCGCATTCCAGCTTCCGGCGTACCTTCCCACTTGCGATGGAGGCTGTGACTGCAAACGCTCTTTTGTGAGCGTCAATGGGGACCCAAAAGACACAACTCACCGCCTCCGCAAGAAAGCCGCAAAACAGGTGCAAAGACCAAGAAGGAACAGCACTCGAAGCACTGCTAAAGTATTTCTGAAGAAATTCGTTTGACCACGTGTATGTAGTGAGATACAAAGCGACACATGGGGCAGAACCCAAAGTAGCCACACCAACCCCTCGGTAAAACCCTGCCACACCTTCCTGGTAATAAATAGACCGCGTGGAGCTCCACAATATATTCCTTGTTGTCTTGCCTCGAGATGCATCCAATGTGCCATGCTCGCCACAGAATCCGGTAAAGGCCACTGTTTTCGTTGTGTCAAGAGGATGGCAAATCAAACGAGCCATCATCCCTGCGACAGCGGCGCCTAACAAGTCCATATTCATGTTGTTCTTTCCTCTGGGTCTTGCCTGTGTGTATGTCTGTGCGTGTACCTTCTGCAACTCAACCTCGTCTGCCGCTCTTCCTTCCTTCCCTACTTGTCATGTGACGAGAAGGTCCAACACGTCATCAGCACAGGCATATGCGCACGAAAAACAAAATAAAAGTGAACATCCACAGAGCCACAGCAAAGAAAAAAAAACTCCAGTAACGAGGAATAAGGCAATAGATCCATAGAAACAGGCTTCGCCCACCACCATGTCGGTACGGAGACCCAACTGGCGCAATATGTAGTAAGTGACCAGCGCGGCCCAATCATAACTTCAAAGTGTCCTAAGAGCCTCAACAGCATGGCGTTAAAAAAAAAAAAAAAACTTAGAAATTCACCTAAACAGTTGCTTCCCCCCATTTTCTCGTTTTTTTTTCTTCGCATCACTCCGTGTTCGCGAGCATGCGTGCAAGGGGGCATGTGATTGGTTGTCTCCGGCTACTGTGCACCTGTCGGCTGCGGGCGCTGAGCACCCGTGTGGGCCCGAGTCCCACGAGAACCGACACAAAAAGGAGGGAAAAAAATGCCCAAACAACTGGAGCAGAGACAAAAGGAGAAATAATCAAAAAAAAACAAAAAAAAACAGGGAAAGAAAGTAAACCTCCAACGAGTTGATCGCGCGAAAAAAACGTTCTGACCAAACAGCTAGAAACGCAGAAAACAGGAGCAAAGCAAATAAGGAAAAAATCTTTATGAAGTGGGGGTTTGATGACGCAAAAACAAAAAAAAAAAGAAAAGGGATAGCACATGAGTCAGTGCATATTCTAAGTTGCGAATGAAATAGAGTGCGTGTGTGCACGCGCGAGCGCACAAGTGCGCAGTGGCAAGCTCACATGCCAAGAGGATACGCGAAATACAAACCCGACAGCATTAAAGCCGTGAGGCCAACAACGTCAGAGAATGAGGTCCATGGAAAAATTACTAAAGGACGCATCATCATCTCCTTCAGCACTGGCCAACAGCTACGAATCCCACACCTCAAAAAATGGGTTCCCACCGTGCACCACCCCATCTTCGCGCCACAAGTGCATCCCCCAAAACAGCCACGTACACCCCACCTCACTGGAAAGAAGAAAGAAAAAAGAAGGAGAAACAGCCCGTCGCATCACCTTTTTTTTTACTCTTTATTGCCTGCATTCCATTTCGCTACAGAAGAGAGATTGACGTAAAGAATTCTGAGGCATACTCAAAAGTCAAACCCGTGCTTTCAAGTCTGTTTGTGGGCAGCGCCATTTTACCTTTACTTGCCTGGTACATTGGTATTATCTCTGGAAAAGTTGGTACTTGTGAAACACAAATAAGTAGAGCAGCCCACGAAACAAAACAAAAATAACGCACACGCACGCACATTTAATGAGTAAAAGATGGGCAAAGTGCTTTTTTTTTTCTTTTAGCCTATTTATCTGCTTCCTTTCTTGCTTCAGTATCTCATTTGGTTGTATTTCATTCCTCTCTTTTTAACTGCATTCTTCCCCACCAGCTTTGTCTTTCAATCTGAGTGAAAAAGAAACTTGTGTTGGGTGAAAACTGCTTCAATGCATCCCCAAGGTGAGTTGGGTGGAAGAAGCTAAATAAAAAAAAAAAAAATAACGGTGCTCGAGTCCACAATGCAGACATGCGCATTTTCAAATCGTCTCACCCTCTGCCAATTTTTTTTTGTTGCTTTTCTGCTCCTTTCCTGTCTCCACTTCTGCCTTTCACGGACCTTGTTGCTTGCATTAGTTCCTTACCGACGCTGAGGTTGTTGTTGTTGCAGCGGTGAAAAGAGTAGCTGCGCGTTGGGGGGATACCCCGTGGTGCCCACTGCGTATTGTGCTGTTCCATCCGGAGAACGGTAGACCATCATCGGTTGCTGTCCCTGTCCTGGCAGGAAACCAGTCACATACTGACCATGCATAGCCTGTTGGGGAAAGTAGGGTGCCCCTTGGCCACCGCTTATAATAAACGGCACCGGTTGTGTCATGCCGGGATGACGGTGCTGCGATTGCTGTTGCATGAGTTTTTGATGCATTGGCTGCGGTGGTACCTTTGACATAGTTGCCCCCCAAGGAGCCAGAACATGCTGCTGTTGCGGTGGTAATTGCTGCGGGGGTTGCGTTAGAGAAAGCTGCGGGGGTTTGTGTGCCCCAGAGAGTGAAAGTGCAGGCGGTGTTCCATCCATTGTTGAGAGCTGAGGTAGCGGCAGGGGTTGTGGCTGTTGTTGTACATGTGTTTGTGTGTGCTGCTTGGAGACCACCATGTTCTGTTGTACTTGTAACCGCAGCTGCGATTCGAGAGATGCAGCATCAATGACTTTGGGTTTGGGCACCTCCGGCTTTGACTGTTTGCTCACGTTCTGAGCACTCAGAAGCATTTGTTCTAAATCTTCCGCATTCCACACCTGAGTCGCGGGATTCATCGACGAATTACTTGGTTGAGGCGCTGCCCCCGTCGTTGTCGTTTTCTGCGATGTGGAAGAAGGCACTGTCGCCAAGGGCACCGTCGTTGCTGCTGATGATGATGATGATGCGCCTGCGGCAACCACATGAACCGACGAAGGAGGCGAGATGCCAGAATGCGCGGGTAGGTGCACGGAGGGGCCCACAACCACGCTAGGGGCGGTGGCAGTGTTAGCACCTTGCGCCAGCGCCAGGCCCGAATTTCGTTGTGTCTCCATGGTTCCCCAAACCGCATTCCCGCTTGTGTGCATCATTCCTTGCATGGACCACGGATCCTTGGCGGAGGGTGGCATTGCCAGTGAAGCTGGCTCGTTAAATTCTGGCCCTGCTGGCAAAGCCGAGGCTGACGTGCTCTTATTGCCAGCATCTGCACCTGAGAAAAAGCGAGACTTGGTCACCCTCTTCGCCCCATCGTCGCCCATTGCGATGCTTGTCATCCAACGCTCCACTTCCTCATCCTCGTCGTGATTTGATGCTTCTTTATCTGCGGCCGGCACCAATTGCTGCTTTGTTTCCCCCTCTCCTTTAGCAGCAGCCACGGCATCGATTTTTTCCTTTTCTTTTTCCATCGTCTCCTGCAGTGTTTGTTTCTTAATAGCATTACGCTCAAGTTCATACTTATACCCCTCTTCAAAGGCCTCTTGGTCCTTGTTACCCCGAGCACCGCGTGATGGAAGGGCAAAGCGCTCGTTATTCGCAGCGCGACGGCTGCCCACTCCATTCTTTGCATCTGCTTTGCGCCCACCTGCCTCATTGCGATGCGACTCCGGAATTGACTTTTCCTTGACTGGCGACTCCGTCTCAATAACCTTGAACTTTCGCAAGGCCTCAACAGTGAGGTTGTATTCATGCTGCTTGGATGCCACTGCCAGCAACTCTGCGCGCGTGTACCGAATCCGGGAGCTCATTTCCGTTCACCTTGTCGTGTCTGCCGCTGGTTGAAGTTGACCTAAAACCAAACTAAAGCACACAGTTGTAATCGTCACAGCGCCCCTCTCGCACACAAAAAATTCAAATTAAAAGACCCAAGCAAACACAAAGACACACCAAAAAGAAAAAAAAAAGTGACAACCAAGAGCGCCCAGTCGTAGTTTGTCGGTGATCCGCGTCGCTGAGTGCAATGAGTCACCGCGTTCCCTGCTGCGATGTTCACCAGGCACAAACCTCGAGTTTCTTCCCTCCCCGCTTCCTTCCAAACTAATCTAATTGGGGGTTGAAGAATCAAGGCACGCGCACAAAAAAAAGGTGAGAGCGAGAAAAAGAGGGGACAAATGTGTTGTCTAGCACCGCTACGTTACCTTCGTCGTTGCTACTACAATAGAGATCACGATTGTGCTTTTGACGCCCATGGGACAGCCGACCAACCGCAACATGCACGCAGCAAAGGAGGCAGGGGGTGGGAAAAGATAAGACAACAGAAAAGGAGAAAAAATAGCAAAAATAAAAGAATTGAAAGATTCACTGCAGTTCATTCCAGTGCAGCCCAAAGCAAGACACTACCAAAAGCATCGCAACAGAAAAAAAAAAAAAGGTAGGGAGGGGAACGACATCTGTGACAACTTCGTTGTCTGACTGTAGCTCTTTTGTTTCTTGCTTATAAGTGGTTGTTAACAAGCACAACCAAAAGACTTCACTCACGTCCAGCCTTTAGATGCCTTCTTCTCCGTTTGTTTGTTTTTTTATTATTTCTCCCCGCGGTTCCCAGTCCCCTTTGCGGTTGTATTTGTTGTCCGCTTGTCGTTTAGCCACCCATGCTGGAAGTATCCTTGTTACTTCTCACAGCTCAATCGGACAGTCAGCAGTTCCCAACAGTTTGTCAAAGTCTGCGTTCGAACCATCTATCCCCAGCGTCCCATGCGTCTCGCCTTCCCTTCTAACAGCATGGCCGCCGTTCACAACTGCGGAACGGGCACGTAAGTGAGGTGCAGAACCCCCCACACTCCCGTCGCGGTTGTCGCCTTCGTCATTGTACGTATCGTCCAGAAGGACACCGTGCCCATCACTCGCCACTCGATGCGGCACCCAACAGAATGGTGCCGTCGTCAGGCCCTCCACCGTATCCTTCTCTTTTTGCATCTTTCCCGTCTTCGCCTTGTGCTTGCTCTCCAGCCGCAAATGCAGCGGGCACGCATCTCCCATCTGCTGGAGGTACCGCCAGAGGACAGTATCCACCACGATGTCGCATGGACGAAGCTCCGCATCGCACAAGGGGCAGTTCCAATAGCAACCCTTGTTGCAGCTAAGCAAAAATGAGAGGCAATCAAAACACTGGAGGTGTTGACAGCGTGAGCCACGAATGGGAATGCTAATACGTGTTTGCAAGATGGGGCATTTACTCGTTATTACAGGATCGTCTGCCTCAACCTCGTCCAAAAATGCATCTTCGTCCTCTACCACCTTGTGGTAGAGGTCAAAAATCGCTGCGTCCCGTGTCTCCTCATGCAGACTAAGCAACGGTTTCACCAGGGTAGTTACCACTTCATCCGGAGGCACTGGCTGTACAATCAGCAGTGCAACCTGACTAAAGTACTCTCTCGAAAAGACATTAATCTGTAACTTTTGGAAGGAAACATTCCGGTTGAGAAACTGAGTGATATCCAGCAAAAGAAGCGTTTTCGCCACCTCCACACGGCGCTCAGGCCATGAACGTTTCCATGGGGTCATTACGCACTGATCGTTCACATACACAACGATGTCTTTCGCCGTCGGCCATCGCACGGGGATCGCTGGGTGACGAAAAGGCGTAAGCTGCACCCGGAGCCGTCGAGCCACGACGGCATCCACAAACTGTACAGGAACTTCAAACCGCAATGGAACACTACCAAAACGCAATTGAAATCGCTTAACCACGCACATCACACGACTAAAAGGTGAAATTAAACTATTCAACAATAAAGCATCATCTGTCTCACACACAGAGGCAAATGGCGCTGCACGCAAGTCACCCACTCCTGCTTGAATTGAAGGAGGGTCGGAAACTACCGCGCTGCACTGTAGTGCTCGATAGCTCCGCAAAAGACCAAGGCCAATCGTTGAGGAATGTGAAACTGTTGACGAAGTCGCCGCTTCCACAGCTGTTTGTCCCGACGTCCTACATGACACGTTACACGGTAAACCACAGCATTCGTCCACCCCTGTTCCACGAAGACTCTCAGCAAGAAGTTGCCTTCGCTCAGACTCTAAACACTTTAGGGCAGCTGCCACCCCGTGGGCAAGATCCGGTTTACGCCCCTTCACAGCCAAGTTGGCCGCCATTCTAAGCTCTCCGTGGCTCTCCAAAATGACGCGAAGTTCCATAACCAACTTGTGCAGATCCTTTGCAAAGAAATGGTTGTGCGATTTTCCCTCAATAACCACCTTTTGAAAATCACTCATCGTGCACGGATTCGGCATCACCCGCTCGTACAGCTGCTGCCACTCCGCGGCTGACAGACCGCCCCGTCGCTCCATGGCGCTCTCACCGCCAATGAAGGATGGTGCTTCCCGGCACACCCGCTTCCTTAACAACGGAGCTTCTGCGTCATCAGGGCTCCGCGAGCGACGCTGCTGTGGCCCACTCATTTAGCATGCAGCCTCCACACAATCTGCGGTAGGAAAAAACCTACGCCCCACGCACACCGACAGCGAGCAAACAATCGCCAAAAACGCCGGAAAATACACCGACTTAAAAACCAGAAAACACGAAAAGCTAAAAAGTATCTTGTGGAGGAAGACACTCAGTGCAGTTCTACGGAAAAGTAAACCTAAAATAAGATGTCCGCCCTATATCAAAGGGAAAACGACTAGGGGCTTGCAAAAGCAAACGGTAGCAGGCAAGAAAAAAAAAGAACTTGACAAGAGAAAAATCACCATTGCCAGCACGTACAGCAACCACCTCCCACAAAAGCAAGTGACGAAGAAGATAGGCGACACCCCTGTTCACCTCACTCCACCCCATTCTCAGTCACACCAGCCCCGAAAGACCTTCGAAGCAAACGAGAAAGTCATAAACGCATACATCGGGCGTGCTATCGTACTGTTTTTTTTTTGCATTTTATTCGTCGTGTACTTCACATCAACTGATGTTTTTTTTTTTTAAGCTATGACGTCAAAGCTAAGTAAAAAAAAAAAAACGGGACGGAGAAAAGAAAGAGTAAAAACAATGCAGCATACGACTTTCTGGCCCCACTGTATCTCACACTACTCTATCTTCTTTCTCCCCTCTCTATTGTCTCTGCTGATTCTATTATCTCGCTCATTCCTCTTCCCGTCTGCTTCAGAGTCCAATCTCCTTTCATTTCGTCCTTCCGCTGTCAGCCTTTCGGTCCTTTTTGCCAGCACACAACTCTCGTTGCTTCCCGTAGCTTCAGAGTAGCTGCGTGGCGCAAACACCAGGATGGCGCGTACGCCATGCAAACGGCGCACAAAAAAAGACGAAAAACACAATGACATGCCCACACTGCGCCGTCCACTCCAGACGCCGCCTCTTCACTCTTCTCAACCCTCCGGCTTCAATACCCCCCGCCGCATCCCCCACACGTCACATCCTTCTTTACATTCGAGTGCATATCGAACCTCCTCTCCGTAATGGCGCACCAATGCACTTCGGTGGATATATATAACATTTACAAGACTTCTCCCCCCCCTCCCAACTTCATCCCCTACTGGTTGGCAGAGTAAAACCATAACAA